TCAAAAGTAATCAAATGTGCAAAGTTAAAAAAAAGAATAAGGTGATTTTCTTTTTCTCTGTAAATGCTCATCTTGTCTTTAATTCTTTTTGTACAGATTTGGAGGAAGCTCTACAACGAAGTCTTCTGGAATTCTAAGAAATGGGAACTTCACTGAAATCATCTGCTGTTGAAAATTTCAATTTTCTACTTAAATTGCTGTCTGATTTAATAAATAAATGTATCTTGTCATCATCTTTCTTCTGTTTGGCAACACAAGTCATGCTGCCCTTTCTGCAAATGGGCTGATTGCATGTTGTGGGGTTTTAGTGGAAGCTGGTTGCTTTCTGCCAAGAGAAAGCAACCAGCTTTCTCTGGTTGTGTTGACACTTTGGTGTGTTGACACATGTGCTATAGTTGGCATTGGTGACACTGCAAGATTCCACAGTTGGCCTGGTGACCACATTCTTGACTATTTCTACATCTGTTTTAGGTTTCCTTAAAGACGAGAAAACGTATCCAAGTTTGTTTTTTGTTTTTTTTTAATAAGACATAAGTACAATTGAGATTATTGGTTCATGTGAAAAGGAAAGTATGGTAATACAATTGGGGCACAAATTTAACTACCATAGAATAATATATTTTTACAATTTGAATTTGTCTCTATACACTTAGACAAATTAATGTTCAATCACACATAAGGAAAAAACTAATAGTTCAGGAGGTGCAGCCTGTGTGTGTATGCACATGTTATTTGACACTGGATCTTTGCATGTAGAATTAGGCAGGTGACAGCTGCACAACATCAAAGTTTGAGTTGTTTTTAAATGATGAAACTAAAGCTTGCAAAGGCATTTACACCCATTTTATTCCAATTTTTTTATGTTACAGTCACTAATGTTTTATCAGACTTTTAGTTGACAAAAGCACAAACTTAATTTGGTTCTTTATTACAGACCTACAAAAACATGACTGTCTGTCTGGAGCCAGGCAACCTGTAATAAATTTAGGTTGGCTTCATGCCAAACTTCTCTGATTTCTATGCGTAAAAAAAAATAAGTAATCTGGGTTTGTTGCATATAATGAATTTAAGACAATATAGGGAAAGGTTTTAGATAAACTATCTTTGCTGAATTATGTGTTCCTTTATCAAGGCTAAAAAGGCAGTCATTTAAAAAAGTCTGATTAATATCTGAATATCAGTATGTGTAGGCTGTCACTGTTTTCTCTTAGTTTCTCACAACAATGGGTTGATTCATTTTCCTCCTAATCATGTAAAACCTTTTTGATGGACAAATAAAATTGCCTTGCCTTTTGCAAAGCTAAAAGATACTTTAGGATTCTATGAAGAATTATCAAAATATTTTACTACTGCCATTTAAAAGTTTACAATAAAAGTTGAAGACTTTGTTCCTCACTCAGTTTCATAACATCCAAGCACAACGGCTCCCTTTACAAAACAAATATAAAGAAACTATATCCTAAAGCAGACTGTATCTGTGGACCAGGTGACTGTTCCCTTGGCCCCCCCAGAGGTCCACGACCCACACATTTAGGAACCGCAGCTCTGGTCTCCTCGGGAAGCTTCTACAAGCGAGTGAAGGAAGTCGCAGCCCATGTTTGGAAATGTTCCCCCGAGGCGCCGCTTCAGTCCGAAGAATAACGATTAGCTGGAGAACAGCGAGTGCTGCACTCATATCACAGTAGCGCTCCCGGACGGAAGATTTTCATAGAGCACAGCGGACAAGCAGTATTACCATGGCACAGGCAAAAATACACGCAAAAATGAACGAATCTGCCTGCAGCAAATTCAGCAGGACGCTGTCTATGGCAGATCGCTCCGGGCGACTCCTGGAAAGTTTGGATCAGCTGGAAATGAGGTACAGTGGAGTAAACAGGCCAGACCATGTGCGCTACGTCAGCTCTGTCCGATGTTCCGTTTGTGTACTGTAATGTCTGACCACCTAAATATTTACTGTTTCACTTTATAATCACGATTCCAAATATAAGAGAATAACGTCTGAACCATGTCTAGTCTAGAGCTCTTTCACTGTAAGTTGCTGTGTTTTAATTTGCTTGACAATGGCAACAGTGCGCTTGTTTGTGCCTTTTATCAGGGTGGAGGCTTTACGCGACGCCGCATCAGCCATGGAGCAGGAAAGGGAGAGCATCCTGGAAATGATTCAGTCCGTGCAGAACAGCCAGGAAATGCGAAACATCTGTCCGGGTGAGGCTGCTAATTCTTGCAACTTACATAAGGGCAAAAAAAGTCATCCGCAGCTCTAATGCCGCACAACATAAATATCCGAGAGGGGAGCTGGGCTTGCGCTTTGAAATCTGGTGTTTTTCAGTTGCTTTGTGTGACGTTGTGATCCAGTGAGGTCATTCACGCCCGGGTGATCGTGACGATGAGCAAGCTATAGATGAACACGAAGCAACTAGTCCTCCACCCACAGTGACTTTATACTAAGCCTCGACTGTTTTACATCCAGATCATTTCGTCACCATTTAAAGATACAACTGCATCTCAATTCGAATCTCAGCAAGTAGTGTAGAGATTTCAATGAATGAAAGACGAACTCATAAATGACAGTGATATATTTTTAAACGTGTCTGTTAATTCTGATGATTATGGCTTACAATTATCCATCCATCCACCATCCATCCATTTTGTCCCTAGTGGGGTCTGGGAGGGTGGCTTACATTTAATGAATCGCAAAACTCTATTCCTCAGAAATATAGAATATCACACAATCAAGATTCAGAATATAGAAATGTCCATGTGCTGCACAGTATCTGCCCTCAATGCTTTAACAGGCTGCATTATATATGACTTGTTGTATTAATGAGGTGTGACAAGTGACCCTCTGAAGGCCCAGTTTGCTTCAATAGAGTCCTTCATCTCAACTGCATCTTTCAGGGCTGGTGTTCCTCTTCTTCCTCTTGACAGTTCTCTTTGGGATTTAGGTCAGGGCAGTTTTGTGTCCAACAAAGCACAATGATAACAGGGCCATTAAAGCAGGATTTGACACTTTTTGCAAGGAGGCTCTGCAGGCTCCTGCTGGAAAACAAAATCAGCATGTCTGTTAAGCTTGTCGGCACAGAGAAGCAGGAAGTGCTCCTCAATGTTGCCCTAGATGTCATTGTGACTTTGGACTTGATGAAACGCAGTGAACCAACATGAGGTGACATGGCTCCTTAAATCATACTAGTGGAAACTTCACACTGGAACTCAGCCTGGATTCTGTGCCTCTCAGATTCTTCCTCCAGACTCTGGAGACTCTCATCACAAGAGGCAGAGGCATTTAACATTAGCCGGTTTAAGTGTGTATAAGTACATTTGATCAAGGAATGACAGATTCTGATTTGTTCAAAGTCGTCTTTGGTTTGTGAGGGGTCCAGCCATTTTGACTCCAGTGCCCAAGTCACGACAGAACAGGAACTGCAATGAATGGCTTGCATAGATGAGGAAGGATGGTACAACTGTCTTCATATTCTTGATTCAATTTTCTCCAGTTGAGAAACAACTGTGCATATTGTTCACTTGTAAAATGAGAAAATATCAGATTTTGTTGTCTCTACGACCAAGTATCAAGTAATATTTGACAAAAGTCAAAATATGTTTAGTTAACTATTGGTTTAGCGGTTTTAAAATGCACAATGTTTCTAATGATTCCTCGTATTTTCAAGGTGAGAGAGAAGAGTTGAGTTTAACGGCAAACCGTCTGATGGGCCGAACCCTGTCTGTGGAGATCTCTATTGGCACAATCAGGAACCCCCAGCAGGAGGAGGCGTTGCAGAAGGCCACGTCTATAATAGATGAAATAGTGAAAAAGTTACTGAATGACATGGAAGGTGCTCGGCAGCAGCTGCTGGCTCTGCACGCAGCCTGCGTGACTGAAGCGCCGCCTGTCCCCATCGACCAGAAGTTTCAGGCCATAGTGATCAGCTGCGCTCTGGAGGACCAGAAGAAGATCAAAACGAGGCTGGAGACTCTGGTGAGGAACACTGAAAACGCTGAGAAGAACATCAAGATCATGGATCACCAAAAACTCGAGGATCCAAAAACCAATGGAGGTCACTTAGGCTCCTAAGCAGCATCTAAAACTCGTGTTGAATTCCGCTAACCTCACACAAAATTGATGAAAACCTTTATGTGTTTACTTAATTTCAGGAGTTATCATGCTGCAGCAAAGCAAGTCCTTGTGGGAAAAGTACAGTGATTCAGTGCCTTGCAAATGTAGCCACACCCCTGAACCTCCTGTTTACTGTATTATCTCATACAACAGTGTATTTCATTGGGAGATTTGTGATAGATTAACACATAATCATATTATTTTATTTCATACAAAACATTTGAAAAAACATGTATCAATTTGACAACATTTCACAATTATTCACCACTTTGATCGGTTTCATTAAAGTACATTGTTATTGGTTCTTCTGAAACGGAATACTACATAATATTGAGTTTAGGAGGAATAAATACATGTGCAAGACACTGAATCAAACCCTAAAGACAAAAGAAATGGAGTTAACTATGTAGTATTTTTTACACTAACTGTATGCATGTTCATTAAGTCAGGAGCTGTTTACCAAATATTTGATAAAGCAACAATGTGAGACGAATTGAAAACTATATTTCTACAGTCAGAATAAAATTTTTCAGAATTAAAATTGGATAAATTATGTGTAGAATCCAAATCTTGATAAATTATGAAAACATGATTCTAAAACCGGTTTACTCCAGTTGACAATCATTCAATAGACTATCTTTTACTCTAATTTTTAAACCTCACCTTTAGATAGAGAAGGATTATGAATATGCTATGCACTACCTCCTCCTTGTGTGAAGGCAGCAAGTCACATATGCTGTACATTTTAAATGATGTTTTCATAAAGCAGTTTGTAATGAAAACAACTCAATAAAAACATTACAAAAACATCAGTAATCTGAATTTCTATTCTATTTTAAAGTATGGGGTGAAGAAGAAGAGGTAAAAAAACCCACCAAGACACAAGTGGAAAAAAAAACATTTTTAGTTGTCAATTTTCCAACAAATACTTTCCCCAAAAATAACGTCTGGTGCACGTCTGAGTGCCATACCTTAACCTCCAACATACTGGTACGTGTCAGTTTGTTTAAATGTGTCAATTTGGTTTACCAAGGTAGATGTGAGAGAAAAGCAGAATACAAGTAAAGCAGAGATATTATTCCACCTGAGTAACAATACATATGAATAGTAATTATTAATGTTTTAAGACTTAATTTCATCTAAATGATAAAGTGCACAAAAGTCATTCAGTCATGATGTTACTAATAAAGTAAACAATGTCCAAACAGAAAAACAAAAAAAACAAACAAACAAACAAAAAAAAAAACGGTTTAAGGAGTGTTATTTTTCTTTACAGATTTACTGTGTAGGCAGTTTCACACAAGTGGGAAGAGATGGGATTAAAATGCTTACGAGTTGTTAATGTAAACATTGTTGAACATTCACTGATGTGAAACAAAGGCTTGCATGCATTTTGTATATATAAATAACATACACTTCACATGAAGCCAATGTGGAGAAAAACAAAAAAACAAAACTTGAATCTTTCAGGACACTTTCAGTACCATGTGACTGTGGAACACAATTAGCACCTTTTTGTATTTTCAGAATTCATCATAAAGATGAGGATTAAATACGTGAGAAAATTTGATTGAAAAACTAAAAACAAAACATGCATACATTGGTATTATCATAAGACTTACAGATGTAGTTGCATGTAGAATGCAAATGTTTGCTTTGATTCTGGTTATAATACCAGATTATATCATCGCATAATCTTTTGTACTTGATGAACAGGTTTGCAAAAGAAAAAAAAAAAACTGAAAGGCTTGATACAAAAAAAAAGGCATAAACATAGTCTTAGGTCAATATCCTCATGTTCTTTTACTTTCAGGCAAAGACAAGAACATAAACACTTTAATCTCCTGTCCTAATGGCCGGCTTGTGACACTTTGAGAGTCATGGTTTTACATTCTGTTACAGACTTAGTGCCACAGATGTCATTAAGCAGTGGCCTTTTAATCAAGTAAGCTTATGCCTGAATATCTGTAATGTTAGAATTAAAATAATTTCCTCTTGAATCTATAGTGTCACCAATATTCAGTATTTACAGCTAAATAAATTCAATGATTTAAAAAAAAAATAAAGATGTAAAAGGTAAATCCCTGCAATGAGAATATAGTGTCGCTAATTGTAATTTATATCATAGGACTCAAAGAGTTGAGCATCACTAATTTATCATCTAAATAAACGTTACATTTACTAAAAGTCTACAAAAAAAGGAATAATTTTGTGTAATTCTTGATTATCAATTGTTAATTCAGAGGAGAGTTTTCTAAAAAATTGAGGTTCCATCCAAATCACTGAAATGTGATCTTCAACAAAGACTCGTTGAGAGTAAATTTGGCACGTAGTAATCACTCAACACTGTTGTGCTTAATACAAAAATACAATTTACCTCTGGATCTGTCAGGGATAAACAGTAATAGTTTGAACCATATTCTGTTAATTGCTAGAAAAATATGGTACAAAATAATCTGTGTATCTTTTACAATACATGCAAATATATTGCACAGCATTCATGTGAAACACCGCAATGAGTAGCTGTAAATAAAATTTACATACTGGAAGAAATATTTCCAGAGTCTGAGTGCAACTTCTGCTTCAACACATCTGGACAATTTCTATACGTGAAGACAGTTTTGAGGGGAAAAATCCACTAACAATCAAATATATAATTTATTAGGGACACAAAAGAAAACTGCAGTTGTTGCCGTTATTTAAGGCAATCACAATGGGAGGAGCAACAGCTGCACAAAAGGTGCAAAATCAACAAAGAACTGAAAATGGTGTTATATTGACATTCCCAGTCTTTGTGGGCTTACCTCCAGGTAATACAACAATGACTGATGTCATCTTAAACAGAAACGTAAGTCGCTGAAATCAAAAGCTAAATTGTAGGAAATGTTTTCTAGAACAGACTGCAGCCTCCAAAAGGGTTCTTGCTCTTCTTGGTCCTCTGTTTATTGGGTCGTAAAGTGATGACTTCTCTCCCATTGCTGGAGCTCTGGTTGGTTACATTACTACTAGAGGTATTGAAAACACCTTTGGAGAAAGAAAACTATTAATAATGTAACCAAAATAATGAAATTTAACTAAAATGTAGCATTTAAAAAAAGACGTGTACCTATTTTATTGCTCGTAGAGTGGATCACCTCTGTTTCCTCTGCTGTTTGTTGTTTGAGTCTCTGGAGATATTTCTCAGCCAAGTACTTGAAAACTGAAAAGATTTTAATTTATTACATATAATTAATAGTGCATCTTCATTTGTATCCCACCAGGAGGGAGCATTGTCATTACCTACCCTCATTGACATTCAGATCCTCTTTCACAGATGCACGATAAAATCTCAGTTTAAGTCTTTTAGCCAAAGCTTCCGCCTCTTCACTGTAAAGGAATGTCAAAATAAATCTCTAGTTATTTTCTACGTATTACACATTCAACTGTAAACACATTCAGTTTCACTGAATGGAGGACTTACTTTTTTATTACAGTTTCTTCCAGGAGATCAATTTTATTCTGCACGAGGACTGTTGGAATGTTTCCAACCTCTGCCTCCACCTTCTCCCTCCAGTTGTCGATGGCCTGGTACGACTCGCGGTCTGTTGTAGAGAAGACTAGCACACAGGCCTGGGCACCTGCAGCACAGCAACACACTCAATCGGTTTTTAAGCTGTTGACTCCCTTCAAAAATATACACCCAATGTTTCTTATTATTTTAACAATCTATGATGTGGCTAAAAGTTGCAGTTCAGATATGTTGGTTCCATATGTGGACAGAACCATAAAAATTGAAACAACTGAGCAAAATGTAAAAATGCACATGTACACTCTAATTTGACAGGGTCAGGTTAAAAACATTTGAACGTCACACAAAGTTCTGTTCAAATAATTTGAAAGTGGGAGAAATATGACAACTTTACACCTACAAAGACATGGAGATCTGCTTGAACTGACAATGCTGTGTGTGACAGAAAATGAACACTGCACATCACCATGAACAAATAGCAGATTGAGTACAGAGTCTGGTCACAGCTGATGGGTAAATGGACACACCTAAATACAGCGTGACCCTGTGTTTGCCCTTGATCACCTCTGAAACTTCTCCATTTTTGCCTAGCTATGAGTGTTTCTACCTTTATCTTCTTCACCTCCTTCTCTTTTCACCATCTGATTCTAATAACAGCTATACCAGCACTCAACCCTCATTGCACAGGTAAGTCTGTTGTCTCAAGAGTGATTCTGCAGAAGTAACAAGTTGTGCAGGCTATAGCATCTTCCGTTGAAAGTATTCAAGTTTTCTAATACATATGAATGCCTCATTTGTTAGGTTTTTCTTTGAAAACACTGTGGAAAAGCTCAATCTTTCCACATTACAGTCATGTGGTACTTCGTGTTGTTTTATCAAACTGTGAAAATATTCAAGAAGTAATAAAACTTCTGCATAAAACTGTAATACAGCAGGGTGATCTTGCCTCTGTAGTAAGCCTTGGTAATGGCGTCAAACTCTTCTTGCCCAGCAGTGTCCCACAGCATCAGTCGAACCTCCTCACCATTTACTCTACAGAGGAACGCAATGAAGAGGAACATCATGTAACTTTCAATTCAACAGGGTGATATGTATTCACAGAAATTCATTAAATGAATTCAGACTCTCACTATGTGACTTTAAATGTAAATCACAGAAGAACACCAGGGACAAAGAATGCTTACATAATCTGTCTTTCTAGAAAGTCCACCCCGATTGTCTTTTTGTAGTCCTTTGTGAAAATGCCTTTGCAGTAACGCTGGATCATGCTGGACTTGCCAACGGCTCCGTTGCCGACCACGACCACTTTGATGGCCACCTCCATGTCCTCTTCCAACATGGTGGCTGCTTTGCTTAGTTGCACTCAGTGGATTCAACGATATGACGCAAACATGCACCAACTGAAAGTGTAAAAAAGACAACAACATAATAAAATAAAACAAGTTCAATTTTTTTGAACATACAGGTTCTATGACAAGAGCGCACTGGAAACAATTGTGCGGTAGTGCAGTTGGTAGCCTCGGGGGTAGGGTCTTTCTGCAATGAGTTTTTAATATTAATACACTGGATTCTTCCAACAGTCCAAAAACATAACCGTTCCATTAATTGGTCTCTCTAAATTGTCCTTAGTGTGTGTGAGTGCATGATTGTTTGTCCTATGTGTCTTTGTACTGGCTTGAGATGGACCAGCAACCTATTCAGGATGCACCCCCCCCTCTCACCCAATGACCACTGAAAATGGGACGAGAAGGTACAAAAAAATCTGTGTTTTTAAACTACAGTTTGCAAACTATGAGTGACATGTTCTTTAAAAAGCTGACTGCAAGCCAGAGCAAATAGCCTGATTAATTAACAGCTATCAACTTACTAGATTTATAGCATAAAAGCAAAATGTCAAAAAATATTTTTCTGCCTTATATATGTTTATTTATCCGATGCAGACTTAGCAGATGTTCATTCTATATTTTTGATTAATGCATGACAGTCCAAGTAACCATTATGAGCAACATTTTAATATTTCAGCAGCAGTATAATTACTTGTTGCTTTTTTAATGTTGTACTTCAATATGTTTGTATTTTTTGTCCAAAACACCATGTTCCCTATTTAAAATACTAAAACCTCATACCAGTCCATGCCTGGTTACTCAGTAATTGGATTGTTACATCCTGGTACAAGTTCAGTAGATGGTCAGCAAGAGAGCTTAAATTTAAATCTATAATTCACGTTTAAAAACGACACATGAGGTGAGAGGACAACTGGTCCAGGTAGATTATGAGAAAAAACAATATATTATCCAAGATATAAATATATATATATATATTTTATAAAACATTAATGGAAATCAGAAATCTCCATTGTGTCTAAATTCTTGAAAAGTATTTCCAATTATCTGTAGCCGAAATGGCAGGTTGACATAATCAGGGGGAAAGAAAACAGTGACCCCGCGTAAATATAAAATAGTATACAACAAAGTATCCAATAAAGAATCTTAATATTTCTGAAATGAATAAAAAAACATATTAACATTTATGCAGTATTTAAAAACTACATTATCTATACTTATCAAAGCCAAAATCAGTGGCTTTCATGGCCTCTTATTACATGCATTTGATGAATTCAGCAATATAATCATGCACTCAGTAAACAGCTTAGACCTGTAATTCCCTATTTAAAATACTAAAATAAATGTTGTAAATTCTACAGGGAATCAATCTAAAGCAGCCATCAGCATATTTATTCTTCCTTCAGTGATATAAAGTGCAGGCTCTACATGGCAACACTGTCCTCCCCAGTATGTGTGCAGTGACAGAGTGCGATGCTAAACAACATATTGTTGCAAAGCTGCTCTCAGTGGACACTGGCAGCCTGCTGCGTGACGAGGCCGTCCAACAGCCTCAGTGAGTTTGGTTCAGGAGGGAAAATGATTATTCATCAGCTATAATTAAGCTGCATGATGCATCACAACATGCAGCCAAAACATAGTTAAAAATAAAGCAGGCTAATCTCCTGGAGTCAGTAATTACTTTATTATCACAATCTACCCCAGACACTTACCATCACATATCTTAGTGTAACATTGTTTGGACATTAGGTTAACTCACAAGCATTATTTAAAACTTTAATAACTTCAAGTTATGAAATATGCCTCAAACAAACTGTGTGGCAAGTAATGTCCACCTTTAGCAGTCAACCATAACGTTTTGACCACTGACAGGAGATGTAAATAATCTCTTCATCTTGACATTAATTAGTTGGTGGCAAATAGCAGCAAGTCAACATTGTCATCAAAGTTGATGAGTCAGAATCGATCAAATCAGACAATGGATGAACGGATTGAAGTGTGTTTTTCCCCTCCAAACATACTCTAAAGTGAACTCTAAACGTGAACTAATCAAGCAATATATCTGATAAAGAAGAGTTCACTCGCAAGAATACTAAAGGTTCAAGCGAGTAACAGTTGAAAGTGGCCACCCCAGCAGGGAGTGCATACGGTTTTTTTTAATCGTTGTGTACAGCAAAGTGTGTTTACTGATCAAGCATAAAAGGTATACACAGAAAATAGCAGACACTTCATTTAAATTATACATGCGAAAGACAATACACCTCTCTGCAACGAGGAATGACATCTTCACAGATTCACCTTTACTTTTCCAGGCCTTAACACGACTGAAAGACAATCCTTCAATGCACTAAAATCTCTTTTTTTTTTCTCCAATTCAGTGACATGAAACTATGCTCCTTCTGTCAGTTTATGCAAAAATGACAATAGATGTTGTGTGGGAACCTAAATGTTAGTAATTCGTTGCTGCTTCTTTCTTCCATATCTTACTCCTTTTGTGGTCAAGGCAGGACCTGTTGCTGACAGGGAGGTGTAGAAAAACCGAGTAACTGCTTCTCAAAGCTAACTGACGCAGCCGCGTCAAGTCTGGATGAATGGAAAAGGAGAAACTACACAACTGGGTAATTTCCTACCTGTAAGATCCAGTTAAAACGTCTCCACCAGCATTAGGTCAGCTAACCGGCCAGCTCACCCACAATGACATATCCACGTCCTCGATCTGTTCCTCTTCGCAGCCAGTGGAGAGACTACGGCGCTAAGGTTACCTTGCCTAGGTTAGCCACTTTTCGGAGAGAATTCCCTGGGCGTTAACGATTTCTGTCTGACAAGAAAACAGAACAAAATATGTCGCCTGTTATAGTGGCGAATAAAAAATTATTCAGCATCTAGAGCTGGGTGAATTCTCACTCCATGAACTGTGTGTAAAAACATCCCTATCTTTGGTAAGCTAAAAGGTCCAGCTTGCTACGCTGGTGCTGAGAAGCTAGCGGGGGCTCGCGAATGCTTGTTGCTAAGCAGCGGCGCCAAAGAGTGCAGAAGGCAAGAGAGGAAAGAAGGAAATGTGCGAATTTCAAAGGAGCCTTGGAATCGTTTGCGATTCCAAACTCACGACAGTTTGAAATATTTTGAAGAATATATCCCAATATGAATCAGTATATAGTAATATATGTCATAGTACAAGCTTGTTTATTTGTTCAAGCATAATAAATGTAGGAATATTGCCATGGCTTGCTGTACTTAGTAAAAAGATAAAACGAGGACGCCTTCTTCTTTCAGAGTTGGCCACTGGGGAGCACAAAAGAAGCAAAATCAGTCACATAACTCAAGATTTTCATATTGCCGTGATCCGTTGGAAGTTATTCGGCAAATAAAACAAACTGCAATAGAACATAAGAAGAAAATGTACTTTTCTCATTGTGGGCAAGATATCTCAAATTAAAATGTTCAGTTTTAACACAGACTGACCGATAGAAAATGCTTTTGTTGCATTTTCTGTCTATTAAATTAAACAATTAATAGTTCAAGTTCCACTGAACTATATATATAATATATATATATATATATATATATATATATATATATATATATATATATATATATATATATATATATATATATATATATATATATATATATATATATGTGTGTGTAATATGTTTCTTTACAAGTAAAGAAACATATTACACAAACTTGGAACACTAATATATATATATATATATATATATATATATATATAATATATATATATATATATATATATATATATATATATATATATATATATATTACACAAACTTGAAAACACTAATATATATATATATATATATATATATATATATATATATATATATATATATATATATATATATATATATATTACACAAACTTGAAACACTAATATATATATATATATATATATATATATATATATATATATATATATATATATATATATTAGTGTTTCAAGTTTGTGTATATATATATGTGTATATATATATATATATATATATATATATATATATATATATATATATATATATATATATATATATAAATATATATATATATATATATATTTGTGTATATATATATATATATATTATATATATATATATATATATATATATATATATATATATATATATATATATATATATATATATATATTAGTGTTTCAAGTTTGTGTAATATATATATATATATATATATATATATATATATATATATATATATATATAATATATATATATATATATATATATATATATATATATATATATATATATTAGTGTTTCAAGTTTGTGTAATATGTTTCTTTACTTGTAATAGCATTTTACCGTGGAAACATATTTATTTATTTATCTGTCTGTCTGTTTGTTTTTAGTGTGATTATGAAGTGGCCTCAGCTCCCACCTGGCCTCATAACACTCTTTTCTGCGCAAATTAAAAGGACAGCAAAGGTTACATGTGACCATGTTTTCTTTAACCTAGACAGTAGTTTAAGCAAAACCTTTTACCAAAAAAAGTGTTTGATATTTTTCGATTATGTAACAGAACTTTGTCACTTTTCATGTTGTGTTTCGGTGTTTTACTCAAGTTTTTATTTATTTTTCTTTTTGGGCCGGTGTCAGACAAAACGAGCGCTCACTTTACCACGTGAGCGTTTCTCTTCCTGCTACGTCACTGTTTAGCCGCGTCTGTTGAACTGCTGACTTTTATTTGGCGGGATTGGACATAGAAGAGCCTGCTTCCTCGTCTTGTTAGTAATATTATTGACAATATTTGTATAAATGTTGTTTGTACTATTCGTTTTGAGCTCATTCGTTTATATCTTTATTAAAAGTTACGTGGTAGCTTGCAGAGTGTTCGATGGGGAAATAGTTTTATTCAGAATTTATGTGTGTTTGTCACAAGAGACTTTATCAACGTTGATGAATGTGTTAGTTTGATTGACTTTTATTAGGTTAGACATCGGGTATGTTAAGGCTTAATTTGCAGTTATTTAATGATATTTGCTTCAACTCATTGCGTGGTAACATTTATTAGCATCGTTAGCATCGGCGGCTTTATGAAGTGCAAACATGCACAGTTAGGGATTAGCATAGGTTCTAGTTCAATGATTTTGCCATATAAAAACTGCGATCAGCTGGCATGTATGTTCGAGTTGGTAATAGCTATGCCATGTATCCTACTTTTGTCTGCATATGATATAAAATTGTCTATGTGATGTTTAAACATTTTACACAACGTTTCTTATTTTCCAAACGTTATTGGATCAATGTGTGCACATAAAGTCAACAAATGTGTTATTCTAAATGTAAAAACTTGACGACTCAGCTTGTTTTGTGTCTGTATATTTAGGATAATTTGTTTCTGTAACCATCAGGCACCATGCAGTTTTCTAGCAAAAAAAACAAGGCTATTAATGACCTCAAGGCTGAGATCTATTCACAGCCCCTGCAGTTTTATGGACAACCTCCACTGGAAAACATCTCCCTCTCTGAATTTGAGAGTTTTGCTGTTGACAGACTGAAATGTAAGACTGTAATCTCTTTATTCTATATTTAAACATAGTTTTTTGTTACAGGTGTTGTTTATTTGACTGTGTGTGTCTTACTTTTAATGTGCTTCCATATGTATTTTCTTTCCTTAATTCTACTGCAGTGCTGAAGACTGTGGAGAATGTGGGAGTCAGCTATGTGAAACAAAGTGAGGACTACAGCAGAAAACTTGATAACGAGATTAAAACGCTGAACTTTCCACCTGGAGGTGGTGTGAGTATAGTGAAACACAATTTGAGATGCATTTGAACATATTGGCATATAATTGAAATAATTTGTCAGTACTTTGGTGAAAAGAAAAAAAAATGTTACTTTACCGGTGTACCATATTTCAAGCCTATGTTTGTTACCAGAAAATGGAAATATTTGAAGATAAATTGAAAATAGATTTTTAATGCAGAAATATGTTATTACCTCCACAATCACAGGGCAAAATGCAACTTGATATTGTCCAGTAGAAAGTTATCACACCCTCCACAAGTAGACCAAGCCTGAGTTGGCTGTTTCAGAGTACTGTAAGAAGTTATATTAATGAAAAGGTGAGTGGTAGTGGTCAGATGCACAGGCCATAAGGATAAGTGCAGCATTGGCAAAATTGTGAAGCAAAAATGACAACAATTTAGGGGAAATTCTCAAGGTTTGGACTGAAGCAAGGGGTCTGTGCTTCTAAAATCATTGCATACAGATACATCCAGGTATGTACACTTGTAGTGCTCCCAGGAGTGTACATACCCTTAAACCACAGGCTTCTTTGGCACTGTTGTTCTGCAGTTACCCCAACCCTTCAACTCATTCTATTACTGTCATCTGTTCAGATTATAGATTATATTACAACCTTCTCTTATGTCAGGTCCTATATGTTAATGGGTTGATAAATGATCTGTTATCTAACTTAAGGATGCCAAGGAACAGGCTGAAAAACACAGAAAAGACCACATTTCACACTTCATTCTGAGACTGGCCTACTGTCAAACGTAAGTTGATGATTTTAGTTATCTTGCATAGAGAGAAGTTACAATGCAGCTAACAATTTTTCCATTGATGTTGCAGGGAAGATCTTAGGCGCTGGTTTATTCAACAGGAAGTCGATCTCTTCAAATACCGCTTTAAAAAACTGGATTCTCGTGAAAAACTCAAATTTCTCCACAAGAATAATCTTCAGTACAATACAGTAAGTGTTTGTATTTGTTTCCATTTTAGTAAATACACTCTGTACATTAAATATTTCAGCATTTTGAAATACCTTTTACGTCATGTAAGCTATTTTATCTCTGTGCTGGTGTGCTGAAAGGGCTTGTGGATGTTTCACTTATATTTGTCAGCAAATATTTGATTAAAATGGCAAAAGGCATTCTTACATTGCACTTTATGAGAATTTTTAAATGTTTAGTAACTGACATACACAGAGTGAGGAAACTGACAGCAGAACATTTTTGTTGAAAGGAGATAAAAAAAAAAATCCAAACAAATTTAACTTTCAGGGTTTCATATTGTACTTTATGTTTCCAATTTAATTTAATCTCTGACTGTAATGTGAAAGGAGCAGGGCAGTAGGTTGTGAGCGCTCTATAATGGCTGTACAGTGTTTTGTCGTCCACTAGGGGGGGCAGTTTGATCATTGAGGCCCTTGAACGTTATCCATTGGCTGACTTAGTTGAAGTTGTTGCTGTTTTTTAAAGCACTGTTATTAAATTGTAATGCATTAGGCAAATATGTTTGTCACTTTTTATTTTTGCAGTTAGGTTTCAAGCATCCTAATCACAAAGGACTTAATTATTTGTTTTTGTAAAGTAATAAAATATTTTTCTAAATAGTATGTACATTTTTTTTGTCTGTCCATGTAGACCAAATTTTCAATTGAGAGATATATTTTAGCAGAGTATATGTTGATGAATACTAAAATGCATAAGATGAAAAAGGGTAAACATATTATAAAAAATTCATCTCGTCAAGTGACGAGAAAAAAACAAAAACAAACTTGAGCCTCAGATGTCGGTTTATTAACATTGATGTGCTGAAACGTCCTGATAATCTTTCAGATTAGTGCGAAGGAGAAGGACAGTCTGAGGGAGAAACTTGCCATCTCCAGTTCTGCTGCCAGTGGAGTGAAGCTGGAGGAACATGATGTCTACAAAGTGAGTTACTCGTTTCTTTTCATTGTGACTGATGATGGTGTTAATTCAAATAACTTTCACAAGTAAAATTTTAACAGATCAACTGTTTCAACTGTTAATATGTGCCTATTATAACAGATGCTATAATAAATATCAATTAATTTCTACGTGAATGTTGTAGGTTTCAATATGTCTCATGTGGACAATATTTCCAAATAAGGTCTTCTTCATTTAACAAATTTCTGTATTTTTTTCTGTACTGTTTGTGAACTTTTAACCTGAGTAGGTGGCAGCTTTCAGCATATTTTAATATATGAGTAACCTGCGTTAAGCACTTTTCCAGAAACTACACACAATTTCCAATGTCTTTCTGTCTCGTCCAGACCAAAGAGATTTTTTCCTGACTGTTTTATTTTTAAATCATAACATAAACCTGAGAAAAGGAAAAACTAATTTTTCCTTTTCTATAAAGGAAGGAAATACTTCCTTCATAGGAAGTATTTTAAGAAAAATTAAAATATTTAAAGTCTTGAGTTATAAATGCACAGTTAAAGAAAACACCCTTCTGCACAGTCAATTTCATTCTTGTGATGGAAAGAAAAAAGCCTGATAAATCATAATAAAGCATTTTTATTTTATTTTACTGTGTATTTTGCACAATTCAAACAAAAAACAAACACACCTGGTATGAAGAAAATGGAAAAAAGATGCCATACCTCAATTTCATGAGTTTACACACTCTGATATTGTCTAGAAACACCTTTTGATTCAGTTTCAGCATTTCAATCTGCAGTCATTTCACATGAACACAAAGTGGGCAAGTTGCCTTGGCCTGCTAATTGACTCTAATTTACATTCCATTGAGCAGAATGTAAATCATTCTCCCTAACAGCTCTGAAATTTGTGTAAATCTTCAAGTAAACAGCACACTGTCAATCCCCAAATCCCTTTAATCCTGGGTATTTTTGAATAAATTATTTCATTTTAGATGATTGCAATGCACTTTCGAGTCAGATTTTGCTATTAATCAAATACGTGTTTTTAAAGGTTCCTTTTCAAGATGCTCTCGATCTGGTGCGAACAAGAAAAGTGTACCTCAAAGAAGGCTATGCATACATCCCTCAATACGAAATTGTCACCATTGTTCTCAACGATTTCCGCACAAGGCTTTCTAAAGCTCTCGCCGTAAGTACTGATGGATGTTTTATATTTAAACCATACAAAATGATTGAAAGGCTGTAACACTGCAGTCCTTCAAATCAAATGTCAGAAAAGCACAAGAGCACACATGGTGTTAAGAACATTCTTCTCATTGCACTACAAGTTCAAGTGCTTCTTTGAGCACATGTACTTTATTTTAATGCACATTGTTTACGAAAAGCTTGACTTCATGAGGCAGATTGGTAAATTGCATCTGTTGACTTTGTTGCCTTGAGGGAAATTGGAGAAATGCGGAGAATTAGAGTGCACACATGACATTAAATGTCTGGAGGGAAGACTGGCAGCAGCTAGTAGGAAAAAGCTTATTGTCCCTGCAGGCCTGATGTGTTTTTTTTGTTGTTTTTTTTAGGCGTAGCAGGGGGTTCATGGTTGTGCAGCATGCAACTAGGGGTTCATGTTTTGCTCTTAATAACCTGAGGGAGTAGAAGTGCAGCTTTTTTTGGAACCAGAGGCATTCCTTGTTATTTATGCAAGGCGACAACTACAGTTCTGTGCTGAGGAGGAATCCAGCCTGCAGATCAGGCAACAGCTTCATTTAGCAGCCAAAGTCAGTAGTTTGGTATGACAAATGAAACACAACCCCTGTCCATTAGATGCTTTACAGTTGACCTGAAGAGACTTTATATTGGAGGAAGTGACAGAAGTATTATCAAATCCAAGTTTAGACTTGGCCAAGACAGATTCCTGTTTTTTTTTTTTTTTTTTTCAAAAGTCTGACCTGCCAAATTGAGTTCTGACTGATTCCAGGTTAGAACACAAAAGAGAAAGAAGGTACTGCATGTTCTTTGATTGAGGTAGTAGTTTGTAATCTTATAGAAAATTGGGAAACTTTTTGATTTTTCTTTCCTTATGAATACATCAAAACTTATGTCGCTAACCTTTTTGTTGGACAAATTGTGGATATTCTTAGTTTTGATGAATGGACTTACTTAGGACCCACTCAAAGTTTTTATATGTTTGATGTTAAGATAAAACAATTAATTAGATTAACCATAATGAATCGATTATTCAAATAATTGCCAACTAATTTAGAAATGGACTAATCATCATCTGGAACATACAGAGTCACAAGAAAACTATGTTCCTCGCAGTAACTGAGTCAAAAGTGTACAAAATATACATATTTTTATGTAAAATAAAAAAAAAACCCTTTGTATAAAAATCTTCTACCCAGAACTGGAGTGGCATAGTCTTTGCTTCACCTGGTTCAAAATCTGTAATAAGAAACTAAATGATAAAAAAAATATTCTCTTAAGCACATTTTGTGATCCAATTTTTAATCAGTTAATCTTAAAAAATAATTAACAGATTAGCCATACACCATATTGATGTTAAGTCAAACAGAAAGCCCTGAGGTTTTCACATTTTGGTGTAATTTTTTGCTACATGCTGTTTTTGGCAACGAAATATTTATTTTCTAATTTTAAAACAAAAGAATTATTTGTATTTTTTTAAGTGCTTAAATGAAACATTTGATGAATGTGCCAATTTTGCATGATATTAATTGTCATAATAATCAGCAGAATAATTACTTGCCAAAATAATTGTTGGTTGCAGCTCTAATTTGATGATTGATTAGAGCCACTTCTGAGAAATTTGTCTGATTTTGATTCTTGGTGTAGGTATCTAATTTATTATTGTATTATAGATTTTGTTGTTTTTTGATGGCCTGATGTCATCCATCTATCAATTTATACTCCTTCCAAAGTTGTAGGGAGGTTGTGGCTCATCCCAAGAAGCGGGGTACATTTTGGGACTTCATGTCAGAGATGCTGTTAATGTTCACAAAAATAAAAAGTTAAGTACCTAATAAAAATGGTCCAGTTCACAAAGAGCTGGGAGGCCTGTAATGGTCACTGCTGTGAGGGCACAAGGAGAACATTGTTGTTATCAGGCAGTTGCTCAGGCAACTGACAGTCATTATAAAGATCACTTGACTCTGAGGATGCTTCACAGATGGATTAGTTGTCACTACCAGCAGCTGATTGGGGTGACATTTTAAATCTGAAAGCAGTTTCTATGTGAAGGCATCCATACCCGTTACATTAGTTCCAGGCACCCACATTGCACCAAAGCAATGAGCCTTAAGAAAGAGTGTTGATGTCATAGTGATACATCATTCATTTAATTATCATCATGGTGGTACTTAATTTTTTTATGTCTCTCTGTAATGCTGTTATGTCTGGATTTATTCGCTAACAAAAACGTCTAAACCTCAAAACTCTTATTATAATTAATGGACAGAGGTTTAGGTCTCCTAACCAAATCTGAACTAATTTAATTTAATGTGTCACGGCAAACTCATTTGAAACTCATTTCTGGCAAACTGAATTGTATGATCACCTGATTTATGGAAGTGTGATTTCAGGTGATTGTTAAAATATAACTTCTTATTTTGGATGCCTGCGGAGTAAGAAAGCATGAGAGCTTTCACAGGCTGTGCTTTTTGTCTGAAAGGTTTTAAAGAATAAAAAATCAGTTCTTTGCTTCCTTCTCAATCTAACACACTTATAGTAGCAGATGTTCTCTTGTTGGTAAAGTGAGCCTGATGTACTTGATTCTGGTTAATCAAAGCACATGTCCACTATCAAAGGACAGGAAGTGAAAGCTAATGCAAATGGGAAATTTTTTTTTAACAAAAAACAAAGAGCAGCTTGGTTTAGCCATTCTTCCATTTCCAAGTAATAATCTGGATGGCTGACTGCTGAAATGGAATAATTGTCCCAAACAATTAAATTTTTTCTGGAAATCTACTATTGTGTTTCTGTGTTGGATTTTTTCTTCCACTCGCAACAAGAAAAGTAAATTTGGGAAAATACATAATATACCAAAAAAACAACAACAAACAAAACACTTGGAACAAAAGATGTATATTTACGCCATCATTTTTTTTTATTTACACAATTTTAGAAGTAGTGAAGGTTTGCTGAGCTGATTTGTGCTCAGGCTGAATGAAGCAGCATTTGAATACCAAAACCAGAAATAGTCATATTTTGCCAGACAGTTATTTTATGTGGTACAGATCTTTTGTGGGTTTTACATGTATTTGCACTTTAAAGGCTTTCACATGCCCAAGTTAACTGTCTGCTCCCCATCACACAAGCTTTGTGTAAATGTTCTTTGTTTTAAATATTGCAATTGCGAATCACGGTAGCTGAAACACGATTTGTCTGACAAACAAAAAGATTACCTTCTAAAAGAGTTAGAACTACTGTCAGGTTAATTCAGTGAAGGCATTGCCCATTTTATGAAATGTTTTTATTCAGTTTAAATTAAAAAGCTGTGAAACACTGGGGTTATAATTAAAAGATGTTGTCTCTTAAGTTTTCAGTGGAAATACCTTTAAGCAGTTTGGTTGTACTGATCTGCAGCCTGAGGATTTTCTAATCCTTTGACCAAGACATTATTCATGTGATGCCCATCTTTTCTGCAGCTGACAGCCCGCACCCTACCAGCGGTGCATTCTGATGAGCGTCTCCAACCGCTTCTTAACCACCTCAGGTAAGCAGCAGGATTAAAAACTTTGTTGCTTTTCTTGTTGAAAAACTATATTGTCATGATAGAAAATCAAATGAAGAGTTGTTGAGTAAATCTGTCATTTACTGATGTAATTTTTCATCATCGTTGGGGTGCGTTGCTGCATGATATTTTATTTTCACTTGTTTCTGCAAATGTACAATTTTACAATCTTGGTAACAGACCCCCCAGAGCTGTGATGTTGTCATGTAGTCAGTTAGTTGTCAAAAGAAACTGTCAACATTTGTCATGACTAATAATGAGGGAAATTCTGCAAAAATTACACAAAGAATTATTTTTGTCATTTTGACAGCTGATTCAAAAAGAATATTGAATCATCTTGAACTCTGATCTCCAAAGTTTTGGTTCTCATAAACTGATTTAACTCCAACTTTTATCATGACTTGAATCTAAAACAGTGTCTCTAATGGATAAAAGTCAGAGCTTATTTTTGATCACTATAGAAAACATCGCATATCTAAATAATTACACAAATAATTACACAAATAATTACACCAGAAAAACACAGAGACCCTTTACCTTTTATGACAGAAGTTGAGAGCTCAAATTTATAAAATGCTAACTCCATTTAATCTTTCTCTAACTACTATCAGACTGCATAGAAAATTAAGTGTTAAATAGGCTGTTCAGTCTTTGTGTTTTCTCCAACTTTGTTCTTTAAACACCCCAGTAAAACTGTTACTATTACCTTAAATAGCAACCTCATTGCTGAAGAGTGTTGTTGACCAATTTACCATTAGGTATGGTGTGTTTACTGACTGAAAAAAGGTCAGGTGCTTGAGTGTCCAATTGTCTAGCAAAGCTGAACTCTGTCTAAATGTGTTCACCTGATAGTTTTATGGAACATTCCTTATAGCAAATGTGCTAATATACATTTGTTATCACTAAGGGACAAAAGTTGCAGTTTGATCAATTTAGAAGATAAATAAAGTAAAAGAAAAACACTTTTGCAGAATTTGCAGAATTTATTTTGAATTTCTGTCCTGTATTGCATATCTGAGTCAACCTCATAATCTGGTTTGATTATATTTACCTGAATCACACTGATGTTTTTCAAATGATACATCAGTACTAATATAATATTAGTTTAACAATAGTTGAGTATCATATTGTCTGTTTTAAAGCAACTTTAACGATGCTTGTAATTGTAAATGGGTTTTGAAATGCTACAGTGAACTGCATGTGACTCAGTTTTATTAAAGCTATGTGAAATTTTTGGCTATTTCAACCTAGATTTAGTAGCAAGAAATAATAAAATATCCTTGCAAAATAGCAGGAGAGTTTATCTTTGTTTCGGTAAAACAGCTGAAGGTGTTTATTTTGCCTTAAAAGTAAAAACCCAGATACACTGGTGGATTATCCCAGAGTGTTGTTAGGGATTAGTGGATAGGTTGTTGAGATGAATAGCTATGTCAGTAATCTTTATAGTAGGGAGAATATTATATGATTTGCTGCCCAGTCAGTTGGACTCCGGCTCAGCACAGGCCTTAAGTGGGTTCGGAAGGACATCAGAAAAGTCTGTATGGTCTTAACCACTGTAAACATATTTTTTTTGCTATTTTGAGTTTTAATAGCAATTGTAATTATTAGAGAGAAACAGACCTGATGTGTTATTTTCTTATTTCAGCCATTCCTATTTGGGACAGGATTACAGCGTCCAAAAAAATGTCGGGAAAATCTCCTTGGAGCAGATCGATTCAGTAAGTCTTTCTGACCATGTCTGATTAGAATGCCAGGTTTTATTTATTGTAAGGTAAAAGACAAAAAGCAGTGCAATGAGATGCTTATGGAACATCTGGTCATTCAGTACTGACATATATTAAAGTGCCTTGAGAAAAATACAGAAAGTTCACAGTTGCTTGTTTTAGCCAAAAAATTGACCAAGAAGCCTCACTGTAATTATTGCTTGATTTAGCAAGAAGGTATTTTCTTCTCAGTGATGCAACGAGTACTGTTTCATTCCTTAATCCAGGTCCTCTGCTCTGCATGTTTTAGATGTTTTCTTGCTTCAACAGACCAGATTTATATGATCAAATTACCTCCTCAGCATGTCATTAAGGGCCAGCAGAAGGTTGTTAACAAACCATTTATTTTCAGTCAGGTGTGCTGAAACGGGCAAACCTCTAAAATACACTGGAAAGTGGTCCCTGAGTGAGATTAATGGAATGCTCACAAGCATGGTTTTGTTTCTACATGCATAAAACAAAGTTAGTCATTTTTATCGTGCGACTTTTTCGGGAGATTTTTGTCCATCATTAAAAGTTGAGTGTTTTCAGCTTGCAGGAAAGTCCTTCCCGCTCTGTATGAGGCAGCTCCACCAGGCGCTCAGGGACCAGCACCATCTCCGCCATGGAGGCAGAATGCAGTACGGTCTCTTCCTCAAAGGCATCGGCCTCTCTTTGGAGCAGGCGCTACAGTTCTGGCGGATGGAGTTCACACGAGGCAAAGTGGAAGCAGACAAGGTAATGTAACTAAACTTTTAATTTTAATTTGCTCTGGCCTTCTTAGCAGCAAAGCAGAATGCACCATAGTCAACAAAATATTCATGAATTATTAAGCCGCAACCTAGTTTGCAAATGTTGAGAAACTTTAGCAGACACTGAAATTTTGGCTTGTTTTGTTTTTATTACACAAATTATAAGCTAATTCAGTATCGTTTCAAAATGAAGCAAAATTCCTTGACAGAGACAACAAAAGCCTTGGTTATGTCCTGTCCAGATAACTGTCTGTTACCAAGTTTATTTAAATTTGAATCACTCAGATTCAAGACATTCTGACAGAGAATTGGATATATACTCTGATGGAAATTATTTGAAGGAAAACTGGTATTCCCAACACATAATACAATACCTACTTTAATACATAATAGTGGCAGCAACAATTAAGAATTGCTATTTAGATTCCATCTCTACCCAGACATTTCATATTCTAGATGTGCAAAGTTGATAGAGACATTCAATACGTTTTGACTCAGGGGAACTGAAAGCAAATGTTTGCCACACTTTTCAAAATTTTATTTGTTATACATTTTGAAAACCATGTAATAGTTTCCTTCCACTTTCCAATAATGTGGTGTCTTTTGCAGGTCACTGTAGCTACATCTCATTCCACTGTTCCACAATAAACTTTTATTCAAAGTGGATTAACTTTATTCCAGACCATAGAAAAAAGTATTCACACAGAAAATACACTCATACTTTATATAGTATCAATTTTGTTTTTTATTTTTTGCTTTTTGCCACCTGCTGATTTACTTGGACACTAATACTGACATGTCAAAATAAAGTTTGTGCAACATAAACAGTCAAATTTGATTATATAAATAAAAATGCCCATCACATCACATGTTAAATTAGAAACGTTTGATCCCAATTGATGCTTGTATTTAAACAGCGGCCCTCATTTAGGCTAGGATTGATGTCACCCTGTATTGATGGCTCCTCTGCTGTGCCAGCTGAGCTTTAATGCAGCTTGCTTTAAAGAGTTTTGGCAGGAGATGTTGCCACAGCCACGCTATGCTAACATCTGCTATGGGAAAGTATTTCAAAAACAGCCACTGGCAGCCACTCTGTGTGTTTGAGCCTTATGTGCTGTAAAGACAGAACTGTGTTTAGTGCTACCAATTTAATTAGACAACTAATATTAAAAACACTGACAGAATACATTGTGCTCATTCAGTTGACTTGGGCTATGGTTTGCTGAAATACATTTCTGAGATTTGTTTTGATTGTTTTTTTTTTTTTTAGCTTATTCAGAAGCTATGAATTAGAAGCCAAAGTCCTCTTCATTACATCGTGGAGAAACTTCAAAGAATTGAGTTACAGGACTAGCAAATGGCAAAATGTAATACAGAATGTGTATTAAATTCAACACCCTAGTTGACCTACCAATTGGAATGAGAATATTGGGAATTTACCTTCCCTTTAGAAGTGTTTTAGCTAGGGTAACTACATATCCAACATCCTGCTGCACAGGCATTATAGCATAAGTTTGCAATTATTTTCAGAGGAATGGTTTCTGATGTGAACTTTAATTGGCTTTACTGCAGAAACTTAAGAGCTCACATGGTTGCTCTGTGTTATTACTCAGCTTCTGGTAATAGGATCAATTTTTCATTGTGAAGCTTTGCATCACACTGAGGTGCACGGATCTCATAAAGCACAGCTTGTAGAGCAGAAGAGGAGATGCTTAATACGAAAATAAGAACTTCAGTGAATTAGATTCGATAAGCAATAGGACATCTTAATTAGGACATTCCTTGTACTTAGCCTGAAAATTATTCTTATAACGAGAGGTGTAGTGTGGAAAACAGGAATCATCGCTCTGACTTTGCTGAACAAAGCCAGTTTTGTTTTCCAAGATGTCAAAAAAGCAGCAGCTTTCAAAATGGCATCCACCTGTATACTCTCAGATCATCCCCTGTCAATTGAAATTGACCAATCGCCTCAGTCTTCCAGAGAGTAAGAAAAACAAAAGTTTAACTTTTACATAAATAATGACAAAATTAACAATTTATCAATTAAACTGTTGGTCAGTTTTTAATCACTCACTCACTGTAAATTACAAATCCTGCTATGATGGCGTCTATTGTCAGCAGGGGAAAGGAAATCTGTTATAGTTAATGGAAAAATGTAGGGGAAGCCATGACAATCCAGTAGAAAGACCTGTTCAGGTTACCAAAAAACCTGAAAGTAGGAAAGAGTCACTTTTCAGCAGGATTATTATCCCATGCAAACATTTATACAAAAATTGTTTAGATGGGAGCATATGTTTATGTAGAATGACTAAAATGTTCAGAAGCTGTGGCAAGATTTGAATATTGATGCTCACAGATGCTGTTTATCCAGTCTGACTGAGCTTAGGCTTTTTTGTGATAAGAATAAGCAACAATTTCAGCAGCTAGATGTACAAAACTGTTGAAATGTAAACCAAAAGATTAACAACCAAATTTGCATGAAAATATACTTTTACAAAATACTGACTCTGGCATGTTCAATAGAAATGTATTGTAATTTTTTTAGATTTGTACTTTTAAAACATTTAGAAAATTGTTCTTTGATTTTTTTAAAACAGATTCTGTGTATCAGTTATCTTTAGTTATTGAGGTACATATGATCTCTCACTAGTTAAGTTAGTTTAAAATATAATTATTTCAATGAACCAAAGTTGATGTAATTCACAATAAATATTTTGGGCTTATATTAAAGTTTTCTAACCCAAACAGGAATTTCAAAGAAACTTTTATGCTGTTTGAAAGTGTAATGAATGTCAAAACAGAAATGGGAAGAAATTCCTAAAAAAGAAAATGAATAACATAGACTTTAATCAAGTAGTGCCCATTGTAGTTTTATAATCTCTCAATTTATCAGGCTCACATGCCGGACTTTTGTTGTGTCCCTTTTTTTGTGCCCCATTTTTGAGGTGTCTTACTTGCCATGTAACGCGTGTGATGGCTTTTGGAAAAAGCCCTGCTTTTGTTCTACAGCCGAGGCATCTGAATGGTGCTGACCAGCTCACAGCTCTCACAGTGATGTATGTGTTGTGTCAGAAGCTGCACTTTGTGGCATGCTGCACAAAGCCTTCTCATTAGTATGCGACAAGAGGAGAGAAGGAAGATGAGAAGCAGCGATGCCGAAAGGAAGGCCTGGAGGAAGAGGCAATGTAATATTAGACTAGTGGGAGAGGGAGAATTGATGAAATTAACTTGATCTATCCATTTTTCTTGCCACAGATGTTGGCCTATTCATTTGTAGGAGTGTCTATTTGTGCCACTTTGCTGTAGCGTAGTGTAGCCTTGGGGCAGAACTGCTGTTAAACTACTTGTTTTACAGACCTTAACTTTAAGTTAATTCCTTTCTTCTAACTGACACCATCGGGGTTGTTTTGCTGCAGGGCAAACTGGTTAACTTCATCGAATTGTTTCCATAATGAGAAAACAAAAGTATGAATAAAATTTGAAGCAACATTTCAATATTCTAAGCAGGAGGTTGAATCTTGAGGACAAAGGTTTCCCAAATAAATCATTATTCTAAACATATTGTTAAATTAGTGCCAAAATGGCTTAAGGGCAACCACGTTAATGTTTTAGAGTGTGCTTTACAAAACCCTTATCTTATTCCTATAGGGTACCGAACTTATTTTCTCAGGTGGACCAGCATAAACGTGAAGTGCATCCAAATTTTAGACCTCATTGCATTTAACATCACAGTTCAACAGATCCACTTTAAGTCACTCTCCAACAAGGGAGTATTCACTTGTAAATGACTAACAATCTAGTAAACATAAAAAATCTTTATTTGAAGCTGATGTAAAATTGTAATTTACTGAGTGTTCAGTGCTCCAGTGTTCTTAACATGAAAAGATAAGATAAATGAATGTGATCAAATGATGAAATTAAAGTAAATCTAAATTAGAAAAGCAAGAGTTTCAAAAGTTAAGCATGTTATGAACTTATCAAACTGAACATTTCATTCATGTGCTATTCTGGGGGTCATATTAAAATTTGAAAAAAGTCTAAAACATAATACAAATAACAATTTAGGAGGTTGTTTGTATCTCAACAGTTGCTCTCAGCTTTATGTAATTACTGGGCCCAACAAAATAGTTCTGCTCACGAGCTAAAATCCAGTCATTTAGTACAATAAGTGTGTATTGCAGGAGAAACAGAATTGGTACTAAGCAAGTACCAACAATGTAGAACTACAACTGATTTGGTACAATGTTGTTAAATCCCTCTTTTTTTTACGGTGTTGTAAAAGTTGTTTAGCTGGAATTAAAAATAGTCTTTAAAGAGACTCCTAATGCTTAACGCTTTAGCTGTTAACCTTTCTTGAAGCACTATTAAAAAAGACAAAAACAGAACAAAGAAATTTTTATTGATGATGCACCAATTGATAAGAAATGTAATCTTAGATACCGTTACTGATTTTAAGTCCAATCAGATCCTTTTAACTTATAATAAAATAAAATCTGTGTATATCCTAATTTAATTCTGAATATTTCTTCCTGCTTTTTATAATAGAACTGTTCAAAGATATGGAGAGCAATAGGGAAGTGATTTTTATGGCCAGAAATATGGCTCATATGGAAAAGAAAGTTAGAATATGGCAGGGGAAAGAATTATCCTCACCACCTAATAGAGTGTTTTAGCTAAAGATTTCACCTGGAGGTCACCTGGACTAGATGTAATCCTGAGCTTAATCCAATAGCAAACTTTTAAGCTTATTTTGGGGGAGCGTTAATGCTTCCTTTTTACAAGTCTAATAGCAGAAACCTTGACCTCATTCATTTAAATGCTGTAAAAAAGACAACTTTGAGCAAAGACCAAGATTTAGTCTGTTTGGGAAAAATATGTAATTCTCTGGTCTTTGCAATAAAGTGAAGCTGGGTCATTAGGAGCTTTTAATGCTGCAGAAATAAAATCACCTGACGAACAATAACACCATATCATATTTTTACTGCTGATCACTGAGTAATAACTTCAATCCTCACTTGTAATTTGTGTTGTCATTTGTACAGTTTTGCTGAGGTTTTGAATGGTATTATGACAATTTCCATTTTCTTTGTGGCTAGAGAATGACTCAGACAAACTCAAGAAGTTGAAGTTTCAATTTCTTCAATTTAAATTGAAGGACTGTTTCACAATATATACAGTGAGTGAATATAAAAATGTGATGTATTACATCTGGCTTTTCACATTACTTTTATCAACGACCATCAGTGTCAGTTTGTAGTATCTGTGCTGTCATTCATTTTAACTTGTAGCTCAAAAACAGTCCTGTTGAAAGAAAGGAAACTAAACTATTGCCTTTTCATGAATGTTGTATTACAGTGAAATAGCATGATAAGTAAAGATTTGCAGAATCTTGATTTATCACTCAGCTGCTTGAGTCTCATTTTATTATTTTTAATGCTAAGACTTTGCTAGTGTTTTAGTTTTATAGTGTTGGATATAATATTGGACGTATAGCACTGTAGTTTGTAATTAGATGAAACAGTAAAAATATAAAGTAGCAGCTGCATTTAGCAAAAAAAAAAAAAGAAAGGTATTTATCATTCTCCTTTAACCTCAGTAGTGACCATGCGATCACTTTGTACCACTTAGGATTCTTTTTATATTTACATTAGTCCACAAAATGCATATTAAACACACTTTAGTGCCAGTGGACTATGGAGCTCTTATATCAGCAAGTGGCCTCTTGAATCCTTAGAAACTCAACATAATTAATGTCTGATTTATCATACTTAAAGAAGATTTGATGGGTTTTTAAATTGCCACTGCAGCTTGTCCCATTAGGCAGTTCAAAGGTTTTATTGCGACATTAATGTGTGTGGGTACAGTTTTGGTGATTATAATCTCCTACTGTCAGGGCGCTCTGGGTGGATGTTACAGTGATGTAACATCAGGAGGCAGTCACAAATGTGTGTTTTATTTTTTTGGGGGGTTAGGGGGCTTATAAAAAAATCTATAAAGTGAAATTGCTTTTCTAAAAGTGAAGTGAATGTGAAAGTTTCCTAAATTTCGACACTTTTAAAATATTCTATGGACGTTTAGTTTGTCTTCTTGACTTTGATGTTTTGCTTCTTGAAGATGTTTCTCCAGACTGTAGAAATCAGACTTGTGAAGGTTCATTTAATTTAAACTCCAGTGCAAAAATGTCAGAGATGTTTTTAGAAAGATTAAAGGAATAGTTCTGCATCTTTTGAAGTTGGATTTTTAGAAAGCTTTTTTTTTAAAAAGCCATAATCAGTGTTATACTCTAGGAAAAAAAGTCTCTTTGAACATGCAGACAAAAGCACCAATACAAGAACAGAGAACTGGGCAGTGGGGGTAACAAAACATGTTCTCGCTGCCATTGTGGTGTGTTATATTTGGAGTAGATTTCAGTTTTCTTAACCCATTTTTAAGAAAACTACCAAAAGCTCTTTTGACAGATAGCATAATTTTGCTTTTCAAGGCAACCTTTTTGTTTTTGCTTTTTCTGTTGTCTAGTTATTTTGCCATCAGCTCATCTACTGATGGCTTTGATATTTTTCTTATTTGTTGAGATAAAGATGGTGCAAATTTGCATGTAACTGAAAGATAATTTGCTGTTTGACAAAAGGACCTGAAGTTTTGTTTTGGGATGCCAGTAACTTTCTTCCATTTCATTTGGAAGTTAAGGTGATGGTTTAATGACCATCATCGTTTAATTGGACAGCCAGAACACCTGTATTAAACCAAGCCCTCAATGTATATTCTATGGGTTACTTTTTAGCAGGCAAACATTTCTGCCTACACAATATATATGTTGTTTTGGCCTTAGATCTTATTTCCTACTGACAAACTAAATTATAGTTATCTACTCATGATTTCAAAATTTTTACAAAAGCAGAAATAAACACTTAAAATATAGCCAAGTTGTTTGAGGTTCAGAAACTTTTTAGGACACCTGATGACAGTTTTATTCTTCAATTTGCTGTGATGAATTTTAGAAATTCTGTGTTTTTTATTTTTTCATTTTGAGCGGTCGATATAAGGTCTAATGTACCATTTAATGAAGTAAATGTTCTTGTATTAAAATGTTGCAAGTTTTTTACTCTCTAACACTCTTGGTGAAGAAAGTCTTTTTAAAAAAAAAAACCTTTTAACCTTATCAAAAATTACTATTAAATCATTTTCAGCATCAGCAACTCTGGTCTTTGCAATTCCCTGTGATATGCAGCTCTTTAACACATATCTTGGAAGGAACAGTGGTAGGACTAAACGTTCTTTAAATAAAATTTCTTTGAAATTGATTGCTACAACTAATCAAAACGGGTTATAATATTGTATTATTTCCCCTTAGTAAGAAACACACATAGCAATGCAGTACTTTTCACATGAAACCTGCGAAGTGTGTTGGATTTACCTTCATTTATTTCTTGACTTAAAGTGCGGCTCATGTTGTCAGAGTGCTCTTCAGGACAAGGAGGCAAAAAGCATGGAGAAGGATGGCCTCATTTAAGCATCCATAACGCAGCTATCTAGAGTGTTGCAACACCTCTGTAGCAGGTTCTCTCTAATAGCTCTATATTTCACAGTGGAAAACTTCCCTTCAAAACTGACATGATGTATGACAGTGCCTCTTTCACACCAACCTTGTCCCTCTTATACTCTCATCCTTACTAATGCCTTCTCTTCCTGACCCCCCCTGCCTCCCTCACCCTCGTCTCTCTGTAGTTTGACAAAGCATATGCCTACAGCATCCGCCACATGTTTGGCAAAGAAGGCAAGCGAACAGACTACACTCCCTACAGCTGCATGAAGGTGATTTTATCAAACCCACCCAGCCAAGGCGACTATCATGGTGAGTTAGCGTCTGCGAGAAGAAATCATTATCTGTTGGTTTTAAAGGGTTTTTTTTGTTTTGCTTTTTTGTTTTAAATTTGATTTGAAATAGAGACCTTATTTCTAGAGAAGATGTTTATTAAAAGATTACACAATTTTAGAGCTGACATTTTAAACAAGTATCATGATTACTAATAATAGGAGCTATCATTACTAATAGCAGCGCCTGGTTTATTCCCTGCAGAGAAAGGAGTCCCTTAACTTAAGTGTGTAATTTGCAAAGACTGCCAACATTTCCTAAACCAGCTTATTTTGTTGTGGGACAATTGAACTCTTCAAAAAGATAAACCTGACCCACTTTTCTGTTAGTTCACCATCACGTCATTCTGAATGTGTGATTTCCAATTGTGGCAGACTGACTGAAAAGCTGGCATGCTTCAGCAGAAAACTGCTTTCTGAAAACCTCACAGACCTTGTGTGCTTCCTCAAGCTTCATTTTAAAGTCAGTAATGCTGAAAAGATTTGACAGAGGCTTCTTCCTGCATTAATGGCTTCCTCTCTGAAGAGTGCAAGTCTTCTAGCGTTTATGTACCAGATTGCACTGATCATAAACTATATTCCAATATTTTATTTATTTTCTTTTCTTCCAACCATCGGATCAAGAGTAAAATCAGCCAAGTGTCTCTTTTGAAGTGTCTAATAATTGATTTATTGCTCTTTGTTGTTCCTGATGTCAGGATGTCCATTCCGTCACAGTGACCCAGAACTACTGAAGCAGAAGCTTCAGTCCTATAAAGTGTCTCCCAGTGGAGTCAGTCAGGTAGGTTTATTTTTCCAGTCATACTATTGAATATTCTTTTTGCTTCTGAGCAGAAAAATAATTTCTTTCACAAAGAAACTTTTAAAATTATCTTAGAAATGTCATCAATCTTTCACTGGATTTTTCCTCAGCAACTTCTAAAAGTTTTCTGTCAAATAAAACATTTAAGAACCAACAGATTGTGATATTATTGACTAACGTGAGCTGACTCTTTTTTGCTGGTGTGAAACAAGGCAGCATAAAGTCATCAAACAGTGCGGAACAGGATTAGAATTGATTCAAAGAAATAGACAAGTCGCAGATATTGCAAATGGCAAACTGAGCAAGAAAGTAAAAGAATTGAGAGGTTTTCCAAATCTTTTTTCCCCTGATGTGTTCTTTTTGAGATTTGTGCTTGATAAATCAAACTTCTTGACAAGGTTTTGACAAAGTCCATAATTTAAAAAAAGGCTGTATAAGAAGGAATGTAATATTGACTTTGAAAACGTCTACTTTAATCAATAAGTTTTCCGTAAGCCGAATAAACATTTGTACAGATTTAGTAAAGGTAATTTTACTAAATTACCTTTACTAAAGTAGTTAGTAAAGGTAATTAAATACAGCATTCAATTTGAAGGATAATTAGACAACATGATAATGACAGTGAATTCAGCACTTTTGAAGCCACAAAAATTAGCATCATGCTGACACTTGAACAAATTGGATTAGGAACTGTGGTATTAAGTGAAACATGGTAACACCAAAGCTTTGGTTTATATTTCCCATGTCTGCAATCTGTCTTCAACCATTAGATTAAACAAGTGGTCCCTGAAACATCGTTAATATCTTATTTGTATGTTTGTTGGGGATAGGTTGGAAATGCATCTCAGTGAACAGCTGCCATTTTCTCTTTTTTCTTATCAACCTGTTGCTCTGATAACTACAACAGCTCCCTTTTTCTTAACAAAATCAGTTAAAGCTAGTTTGAAAGTATAATTTCTGGCAGAGAATCTGCTCAGCTCATTCCTGATCTATTACCAGCTGTAGAGACGAGCGTGCCGGTAGCGTTATTACACCAGAGGCTGGCAAGTAGGAGCTTGGGGAATGATGATTACAAACAAATCCAAGCTGAGGAGCAGACTTTGGATTTGTTTTCCAGGAGAATGAAAAACTCCAATATAAGTGAGCCAAAAGGCTTAATTTAATTCCAGTTAGTCACATGTAAGAGTAACTGCTCTTGTTTTGCGGTGCATGTGATGTTACTTTTTTCACAGAACCTCAGTGTCCTCGGAAAGTTAGCTTCACACATTATGGAAATATTTAATACGGTTTAGATCCAATGTAAAGCTGCCTGTGGTCATCCTATCAAGAGCTGATTCATCTGTTTTTATTAGCTTTGCAAAGATTTCTTTAAGAATGTATTTTCTGCTGCCAATAAGATTTATGAACTGTGCTTGTGTTGGTAGTTGACCCAAATCCAATTAAAATGGTTATTGAAACTTTGCTGCAGCAGCACCAGATGCTGATGTTATCTTTAAATGGGACTCTATCTCTTTAGGTAAATACTTGAATTATCTGAGGTGTAACTTTTTCTACCTTTTGTTGCAGATTCTTGAGCTGGTCAAAGGGATGCATTATCAGCTGGCATGCCAAAAGTACTTTGAATTGACCCACAATGTAAGTTCAGTCTGTTTTAATTGCTGGTTTACATCTCACACTGAAACAATCATCACATCCATGATTATCAGAACTGTATATTTTTTTAAAGTTTGTTCAGCCATTCCAGCCTATTTTATTATCTGTAGACACTTGCAGAATTGTGATCTGTTTGACTTTTGATGGTTGAAGCTCACATTTCACGTTTTGCCTGAGTAGATGGTTGTTTAGATCAGTGTGATGCAGATGCTTGCTAAATATAACCATACAACATATGGATCCATATGTGATTTTTTTTTCCCTCACATTTGTCTGGTGGGATGCCATGTGTCTCTACTTGATTTGAAACACATGGTACGATCTGCCTAAATCAAATAATTTGTCAAGTCAGCTTGACTATTTAAATACAGCATTCATTCTGATTTAATCTTGTTACAGCTACAAGCTTCAATTATTTTTTGGGGGGGTTTTGAGGGGCTTATGTAATCTAATATAATGTAGAGCATCTCTGTAAAGCAGAAAAAAAATAAAAAGGCTGCTTTGAAAAGTAAAATTATGCTGTTTGTCAAATGAATTCTGGTTCAGGTTTTCTACACTCAGGTACGGGTCAGTCTGTGTGTACACAGAACTTTCTCTGAAATTCCACTGGAATTTCTTATTATTTATTATCATATGTACTCTGTATGTACAAAAGTGCTGTTTTGTACATACAGCACATACAGCAGTGGCAAAACAGCACTTTTTGCCACTCTTCTTACTTTTAATACCCCCTTCTTCAGTTTTTTATAGTAATATTTAATTGCAAGTTATGAGTAGGTGGAAGTTTGTGCAAATTATTGCACAAACTGTTCTCTAAATATTTTTTATTGCTAATCTTGTTGATATAATTTAATGTATTCTTGTTCTCCAAAGGGAAAAATAACAAATTTTGATATTTTGTCACTATCTGTAATTTGTCACACAGCAGACGCTGTAGCAACTATAGATAAGTCATGTACTTCCTCTACAGGAAACCATAAAATCATGAAATGGTCCAAACCATCTATGACTCAGCTCAGTTATGTGTCTCTGAAATTCTGCAACGTGAAGAATTCAGTAAAACATTTCTCATCGACAATGAGAGAGATAGTAAATGATCATTTCATCAAAGGTGACATTGCATTAAATCAGTCAATCAACCTGTCGTCTTCGTGATAACTAGCACTTAATATCCTCTCTTGACCTTCCTCTGCTGTGCTTTCTCATTTTTCTGAGCAGGTGGAGGACACCGCTTTCTCTCTCAGTCACCCCAACCAGTACTTCACAGAGAGTCAGAAAGTTTTGGGTGGAGGGAAAGATGTGAAGCGAGAAACGGACACACTGCAGAGGCCACAGGAAAACTCTGCCGCCAGAGGATTGGCTGCAGCTCGAGAGCCAGCAGTAGATGAATCCCAGCATTTGGCTGAGATAACAAAGAACCTGGAGACCGACTTTCAAGATGCCTGATTTCTGTTTTAATCCATGTGGAAATAAGTGCTTGTCTGAGGGTCAGGTCTCTTGCTGATTGAAAACTGTATCATCCGACTTGCTGAGGAAGATCTTTTGAGTTGTTATAGTCAGTCATGCAGTGCCTTGTTCTTTTACATGTTTTGCTGCATTACAGTCACAAACATCAATGTATTTTATGTGATTATCCAACACATTAAAATGATTTAAAAAGGATGGCTTGCATTTATTTTGTTTTTACAAATAAAATCTGTAAAAGTTATATGAATTTATCTTTACCAACAACTTCATCAATACATTAGCTGCAACTACAGCTGCATGTCTTCTGGGATGTGTTTGAACCAATTTTGCATTTGTATATACTGAACCTTTTTTCCCATTTTTTCTAACAGAAAAGCTTTAATGTGATTGAAATTGATGAAAAAAGCATTTTTAATTAAGTTTGTAGTGCAAGATGCCCATTTTAATCTGCATTTATAGGGTTATGATTGGTTTGTATTGATCTTTATTAAAGTTACTTTAACAAGCCTCCAATCAATCAATCAATCAATCAATCAAATTTTATTTGTATAGCACATTTCAGCTACAAGGCATTTCAAAGTGCTTTACATCATAAACACAAAAACACGAAGGCATGCAACATAGAATAAAATACCAAGGTTTTTTTTTTTTTTTTTCTCTCCTTCCTCCTTTCTTCCTCCCTCTTTTTTTCCCCTTTTTCCACCTTCCCTCTTCTTTCCCTTTCTTCCCCCTTCCCTTTGACACGGAATTTAAGCGCCTGTTACCGCCGGACTCCGCCGTCCGTTTAACCACGGGTATTCGCCGGGCCCCGTTGCCCACAACAGGAAAAAAGAAAGAAAAAAAAAAAAAAAAAAAATACATACATATTCACAAAATCAAATCCATACATATTACATTTCAAATGCAACTCTAAACAGGTGCGTTTTTACTTGAGATTTGAAGGAAGTCAGGGTTTCCGCTGTTTTACAGTTTTCTGGAAGTTTGTTCCAAAGTTTTGTGCATAGATGCTGAAAGCTGCTTCTCCTCTCTTGGTTCTGGTTCTGGGGATGCAGAGCAGACCAGAACCAGAAGACCTGAGAGGTCTGGAAGGTTGATACAACAACAGCAGATCTTTGATGTATTGTGGTGCTAAACCATTCAGTGATTTGTAAACTAACAACAGTATTTTAAAATCTATTCTTTGAGCTACAGGAGCCAGTGGAGGGACTTTAAAACTGGTGTTATGTGATCTATCTTCCTGGTTCTAGTGAACGCGAGCAGCAGCATTCTGGATCAGTTGCAGCTGTTTGATTGATTTGTTGGACAGGCCTGTGAAGATGCTGTTGCAATAATCAATGCGACTAAAGACAAACGCATGAATGAGTTTCTCTAGATCTGGCTGAGACATTAGTCCTCTAATCCTGGAGATGTTCTTCAGGTGATAGAAGGCCGATTTTGTTACTGTCTTTATGTGGCTCTGGAGGTTCAAGTCCGAGTCCATCACTACTCCCAGGTTTCGGGCCTGATCACTAGTTTTTAGTTGTGATAACTGAAGCTGTGCATTGACTCTAGATCGTTCCTCTTTAGGTCCAAAAATAATGACTTCAGTTTTATTTTTGTTCAGTTGGAGAAAGTTTTGGCACATTTATCTGTTCTAAACATTTATTCAGTGATTGGATGGGTTCAGAGTCACCTGGTGACATCGTAATGTAGAGCTGTGTGTCATCCGCATAGTTGTGGTAGCTAATATTATTTCCTGTTATGACCTGAGCTAGTGGGAGAATATAAATATTTAAATAAGAGGGGTCCTAGGATTGAACCTTGGGGTACCCCACATGTGACCTTTGACCTCTTTGATGAGAAGTTTCCAATTGAAACAAAGAAATCCCTGTTCTTTATGTAGGATTCAAACCAGTCGAGCACCGAACCAGAGAGTCCAACCCAACTTTCAAGTCGATTCAGTAATATGTCATGGTCGACAGTGTCAAAAGCTGCACTGAGATCCAACAGAACCAGCACCGTGGTTCTCCCACAGTCCGTATTTATATGGATATCATTGAATACTTTTACGAGGGCAGTCTCCGTGCTGTGGTGAGCACGAAAACCAGACTGGAAAGTGTCAAAGCAGTTGGTCATCATGAGGAAACTATTTAATTGTTTACACACAGTTTTTTCAATAACTTTGCTGATGAATGGGAGGTTTGAGATTGCCTGTAATTCTGCAATAGTGATTTGTCCAGGTTGTTCTTTTTTAACAGTGTTTGATGACTGCTGTTTTCAAAGCCTGGGGGAAAACACCTGATGTAAGCGATGAGTTTGCCTTACAGAGCAGCTGGAATGAATTGTTGGACCCTATTTAATAATTAGATGACTTCTTAAGGCAATTTATTTCAAAGTATCAGAGTTAAGGGGCTCACGTTTTTAACACTGTTAAGATTTTGATTATAAAAAATACATTGAAAACACAATTTTCTTCCACTTCTCACTTTTATGCTACTTTGTGTTGGTTTACAACATAAACTCTGAATAATTTATTTACGTTTATGGCTGTACTGTGGCCACATTTTAAAGAACTGAGCCCTTTGTCAAGACATTGTTGCGAGCTTTCAGTTTCCAGCCTTGATATAACACAAAATTGCATTGTCTTACTTTTTTAGTTTATTTTGTTGAGCCTGTTTCTTTGCTTTCACTCCGGTTTGAACTTGGATGGCTCACACTCCGTCTCAGTGCACACTGTTTGGCAGGGATGTGGTTTTGGGGTGTGCTCGGTTGAACATTCCCCTGCTGTCTCAGAAACAATGTCATTGTATTTTCTGGCAGCAGCGTGGAGGAATGGTGACAGGAGGACGGATGAAAAGAATAAACAATCTCTACAGTTGTATTAGTCTGCCTCTGGAATATTGGCTCATAGAGCACAATGCAATTTATTCAAAGCACACTTGGTCAAAAGATACTTCCCCCTCTTCTCTCTTGAGCCTCTGTTTAGTAATTTGCACAAAAAAAACCCTTGTGACTGCTATAGAGTCTTTATACTGCCATGGCAGTCAAACACAAGCTGTTCCTTTAAATCTCTCAGGAGCTAAGTACTCTATTCTTCCTTTACCTTTTATAAGATTGCTGCTTTCAGATCCAATGAGAGGCTGACGTGTTTCCTTCATCAGATGAACGTGAATCTATTTTTTACAGAGGTAATTTAATCATTTTATGTTATATTTGTTTTATGAAAACATTCACAGGACGCTACTCTAGTTGAGCATAATCAAAGTTGAATACAGATTAAAATAATTCATAATCCTCGATTGGGTGCATTTATTCACATTAATAGAGTAAGTAGATCATGTGCTTCTTGGTTTATGTCTGCAAGAGAGCTTTGACGTTTAATAATTGTTAGAGCACGACTTCTTTCGCATAGTTGGCCTCTTTGAGACTGTTTTCTGATCGTTTATGGTCATTACCCATGAACCTACTGTACTTGTTTTGCATTTCGGGATTGACTCTATTCTCAAGTTGTCAGGCTGGAGTGTTAACTATAAAAGCATAAAATGTAATCCAAGAGCTAACAATCACATTTGATCACACATAAGCGAGCTGCCTTACACTCGGTGTCTTGAGTGTGAAGGTACCACAAATCCTCTGTGAGGCTTCTGTTGCCGCATTTTGAATTTGCAGCACTTCAAATTGCAAATACTTAAAAGTTTATTTGCATGGCACTCAGAGAAGTAAATGGAAAGAAGAATCTTGAACTATTAGCTCCTGAATGTTCAACAATTTAAAAGCATCCCAGTATGAATCTAGCGGTTATTCATGAGTTGCAGTGATTACATTGTCTTAATTGTGAATTTCTACTCAGTGCATGATGTTTCTCTTTGTCCTGATATAATTTAACCCAGAGGGGGAAGCTGAACATGAAATGATGCGAGTTCAGTATGCCTCACCAGAGACTGCTCTGGTTAATTTGAGGATTTGTGTGTGTGTCTGATTACTGTTTATTTTTAAGAATCAGATAATATCCAGTGTTTCACACTTGCATTACACATTTCACTCTAGAGTGTTGCAACATTAGCACATTAGAGTATGTGATAACCTTCTTGTGTTTTGTTGTTGATTGTCTAATGAAATATTTGCATTTCAGTGACAGGATTAATAGAGTCCCAGGTCTCTTGGTTTCAGGTAACATTAAATGTACTGAAATCAATGTTTCTCTCCCACTGAAATATACTTACTTCAAGGCAAATCTACAGAAATGACAGAAGAAAGCTGTAATTTAACATAGCTAGATAAATAAGGTGGGACAATTTTCTAAAACAATTACTTGACCTGAACATTTTGTTTTTCTGCCAGAAACACACTGAAGCATGCACTTTTAAAGTACATTAGGGGTTGTACAAAAAATAAGAAATGGTGAGCTGTGGCTTCTGTTTTGATCCATTTGTAATACCTTTTAGGACAGCTGAAAGCAGAATTTGATTTGGGAAACCATCAGAACAACATTCTAACTGCTTGTACATTTTAGCTTTTAAGACTATTTGTTTACTGTTAACCAGTGATTCAACAACAAAATCCTTATATGGTAAAGCGGTTGATATAATTTTCATAAATTTTGTTTTCACACTCTGAAAATGTAATTTTGTACAATTAAGTACGTTTTTAATTTCTTTAAATTGTAAATAAGTGTAAGTTTTCAATAAATTATTGCAATTGATTATTTTAAGTCTTATGGTTTGCAATTGGTGGAGACAATTTTTGAGGTTGCTTAAACTTGAGTATGCACCAAAAATAAGAATATATGTCCCAAAGGGACATTTCTATTTAAGTTTTTTTTAAGTTTAACTATAAATCATTTTTAGTGACACAGTTTGAATGACTCTTCAGATTCAGTCATTTGTATGAAAAAATTGAAATGACTTTCTAATTTAACACTGAAACAGAAACTTGAATTAAATACCAACTTCTGCCTTACCAGCCAGCTGTAGTGTACAGACATGTTTTCTTTCACTGTTCTAATTGTCAGAAATTGTACCCTTTGACCTTTTTTGTACCATCCTCTGACATAGTGGTGACCAAAACAACCAGATTTACTTATACAATACATGAAGAGATTACAGAAAATTACTTAAAATTGTGTTAAATGTTCTCCTGGCAGGTCCAGCTTAAACACTTCCCATGGCAGACTGCTCCATTTGTTGAATAAATGAGGTCCAAAACCACAAAGT